ATGGAAAGCACCATCAAGCAGTCGGAGAATGACCTGAATAAACTGCTAGAAACAACACGCCGCCTGCATGATGAGTACAAACCCCTGAAGGAGCATGTTGATGCCCTCAGGATGACTTTAGGTCTACACAGACTCCCGAACCTGAACGAAGAGGAGGAGAAGCTCTCCCTGGAGTTAGTATATACACACACACACACACACACACACACACACACATGCACACGCGAGGTAGTTCACTTATGCGGCTTTCACACCAGCGCTTTTCCCTTATAGCTCCGAGCGGGAGCTTTTCTGGTTCAGCTCCGGTTTCCCTTTTCTGCTCCCGCTCTGTTCACACCGCCCAGAGCTGCCGCTGCTGCGTCATGACGTCACCGTTTACGTGCCTGCTTCATAAAATCCAAACCGCGCGGAAATCCCTCACATCGACAACAACAACAATGGCCGATTGAAGCGCTGTTCGCTTTGGTTATCCTCTTACGAAACGAAATGGAAGGCATCGGACGACTTTACAAGGGACGACTTTACTTGGAACTTTACAAACATCACATGCAAGCATGTTGTTGTTGTTCAGAAGGCTGATCCCGCCCATGCCCATGAAACTAAACCCACCTCCCCTGAACATGGGTCGACTGTCATGCCTGCCTACAAGCAGTAGTGCTTATAAACACACTTTATAAAGTCAGGCAACACTAACCAGGCTTCGTGTGATTCTGTTTATTTGTAGCCTACCTTACTTTGACCATCCGTTCACTGTTATTGATCATTGTGGAGAGAGGCAGACGTGTTGTTTTGTATTATAGCAGCTATCAGATGGAATCAATACATGGGCTGCACAGGTTGTCATGTCCGACTATCACAAGTAGAATCATAATAAAAATACGCCGGTAAAATGTGCCTGTAGAAAACGGTTTATGCCACAATAGGATAGCAATAGCAAGTAGTCAGTTTAGCTTCGGTTGCTATGCTAACATCACCCATTTTATACCAGAGACACTTTCATAACAGCGTTGTGATACCAAACGGCGTCAATTCAGACTGACACACATTCACTTAGGCTAAGGGGAACTGGGGATATGTATCAGCTGCTTGTGTGAGTCGGACAGTGAATACTTTAGAGCGGCCGCAGCAGTGTGAGCTAACCGGGAGCTAACGGAGGAGAATAAACTCCCGTAGAAGAGCAGCCAACACTGCAGCGGTCGGTAAATGCTGCAGAAACACATTAATAAACAATGAACCACGGCACTCTGGAGCAAAGTATAAGGTTGGAGAAGTCGTTATTCAATTTAATCTGGCTTCGTGTGATTAAAAGCAACACGATCATCGACCCGACGCAGTTCCCCGTTGTTGTGAGCGCCGTAACGCCGTTGGGGAGCAAATCAGCGATGTAAACGATGACGTCATGACGCAGCAGCGGCAGCACCAGTCGGGTGCTGGGCGGTGTGAACAGAGCGGGAGCAGAAAAGGGAAACCGGAGCTGAACCAGAAAAGCTCTAGCTCGGAGCTAGAAAGGGAAAAGCGCTGGTGTGAAAGCCGCATGAGAGGCGGCGCCTCTGCGGTGTGAACAGGAAAAAACGGTACTTTTCAGGCTCCAGCTCCGAGCTGGAGCTGAAAACGCGTTGGTGTGAAAGGGGCATTAAATTATTTGGTACAGCTGTTGCTTTATACAGTTAACAGTGCGTTGACATCCATGTGTTACCTTTAGGTCCCATACAATGTTCTTCTTGATTCAGTTATTTAAAAGCCAAATGGTAACACATACTTTGAATCGAAAAACATCTCCAAACTTGTCGACACATGAAACATAACTTTTGCAACATTTGCATATCAGGCATATTGAAGTAGCATGTTTTTAGAATGTGATTGCAGCAATTTAAGATATTTCAGTGTTTCACAACACATTGTTAGAAAACAACTGATGCTATGTAAAAGCATACACAAGTTGTTTATGTGCTATGCATGGCAAAATGATTGAACATGTAAGGGCGTAGTGATTTACACAAGTAAATACAAAAAAATAAGTAAATACAAAAAAGTTTTTGTCTATTTCAAAGTAGTATAACTTTGAAATAGATAAAAATAGTGGTCCAAGAATTATGCCTTTTTAGTACACCACATGTAACCAATAAAACCATTAACAGAATGTCTAAGAGACCCACTATAGTGCAGTCCTTTCAATGTGCACACATTGCTCAAATCTATTATTAACAATGTTTTGGTTAACAAGATTTATGACAATAGTTTACTACTCACACACATTTGTTGCTAGCAGCTATCAAATAGGCCTATATGAAATCATGCGCAACATTTTTGATGCCTTGGCGCCAGCGCAGTTTGTGGCCGGTTGAAATATTTCTTTCAGTCTGTCCCATTTATCGTGAATACAATCTCAGAACGCTTTGAGGGAATTTCTTCAAATCTGACACTTTTGTCCAATTGCAGTAAAGACAATTTCACACAAATGATCAATTGGATAACATGTGGAAAGCGATGACATTTAGGCAGACATGGATGTCGAAGCCGTTATTCTTTGTTTTTTTGGGAAGGGGTTTCGTGGTTGTACACAAGCCTGAACACGCAACCAGAGGACAGTTGGTAAACTGTCTGGTTGGTAATTAATTATTTGAATAGTTAGGGAAATGTGGTTGATGTGATGTCCTCAGGCTAGAAAACAGTCTCACATTTGAGATGAATCCGTTTACAGAGCAAAATAACCCTAAAGTTACTCCCAAGAAGGAACTTGACTATCATCTAGAAAAAGAAGGAGAGGAAAACCTAGATCAGATGTCATTAGATTTAGCTAAGAACGTAAGCAGTGTTTGGCTGTCAATACATTAGAAGTCAAGGTGTAGTTCTAGGAGAACGATTTGATAATATAAAAACATATATTTAAATAAAACAATTGATAGTGTTTTGTGAACGTTTAAAGGCCATATTAACATACATTTTTGAGGACAGTCACAACAAATTACATGAAACAAGAGTACAATCTCAATATACATTAAATTCAGTGAATACACAATTCTGTATAAATATCCCTTTGATTCATTATCTTTATTAAAATTACCAATAATCACATTTTCCAGCCTGTATTACTTAAAAAGCAGGGAATCTTGCCTTTTTACTCCTTAAAGTTCAAATGCTCTTTGCCCACAGTATTGCAACAGTGTGCTCTAACAGGGTGTCCGGCCGCGGGGTCTTAAAGTATTAAAAGTTGATAAATCAATTTAGCGAAAATTAAGGCTATTAAAAAGTATTAAACGGCATTTTCCAAGGTATTACATTTTGTAGCTTGTTTTCAATAAGTATATCAATTGTCCAAAGAGGTTGTATTCTAAAGTCTGCCTGAATGTAATCATTGCGTAGGTGTGTAGTGTGATTCTGTGTAGTTTATTTATGGCATCCCGTTGGATTTGCCGTCATCTGAACAGGACATCGCACGCTCACTGCTTGATAGCGCGCGCAGGTCCGTTTATGCCGGTTGTTAAACAACATCGTTATGGGGAAATGCAAGTTTGCGTCAAATGGTTGGAAGATAAGGAGGAAGGACAATCAATACTGTATATAGTCAATGTGAGGTAAAGTGTGTCGCCAATGTAACCGGTTAGAACTCAAAGTGGCGACGAGGTCTTAAAATGTATGGAAAGGGTCTTAAAGTGTATTAAATTTGACTTCAGGATTCCTGCATATACCCTGTCTAAACAAGTAATCGCAAACATGATTATAAATAGCAACATGTATAGCTTTACTGATAGTTGTTTTAGGTGGTACCATTGGATATGATTCAGATTATGGCAGAGAGGTTGTTTATTAGCCGGTTTATTAGTGTGACTAAAGACTTTGAGGATATCTGATGACAGGGAGTTTTAGGCCATGAGGCCGTGGGGTGACTCTTCTAGAAGACAATTTCTGGATCAGATGGTAAGATCAGATTTCTTACAGGTCAAGGACAAATTGCCAGTCCATTCCTTTCGCCACCAGAGATATATGGTTTTTGGTCATGATGAGAAGCCTAATCATAGGACACCGTGGGCTAGAGGAGTTTTTCTTTCTTTCATGTTGCCATTAAATAAATATTCTTTGAGTGGGAGTTTATCTTCTGATCATCAGTTGTCTGTAGAACCTGTACAATTTGTCTAATATTAATATTATTATTATTTATTCTGCAAAGTTGAGCAGGCTTTCATGGCCCCAATGTACGCGATTGACAGCCAGATATTTGGATCATCTCAAATGACTGGGACATCGCTGTGTCTCCATTTGCTTACTTCTACTTAGAGTTGCTATGTTACTCAGATGGTGCAATCAAAAAATGTAGTGCGACGTGCTAAACACATCAAACTATAGCTGCTATGTAACAGAAGTGACCAGCTGCCATTGCGGTTGCTCCGGTCAACACCTTACTCGCTTTTTTTTAACCTTTCGATAAATGTACCATTGGCCCCCACCTCCTCTTTTTGTGGCCCTCAGATTAATTTATAAACAACATAATTAATAACAAAACAAAAATCTGTGATGCGTTTGTGTGTATTGTGTTTGTTTCCCGGGGAAACACTCACAAGAAACACCGGCTGTTGTTATGCCTGCTGTGACATTAAGTTACCGCTTGTAATTATGCCGTTACAAGTTTCAAAGTTGTATTTATTACATTACAAGTCAGACGCTTTTATCCAAAGCGACTGACATACTCAATACTGTGGGCAATCCCCACAGGAGCAATTTGGGGTGTCTTGCCCAGGGACACAACGACATGCTGACTACAGTGGGGTTTGAACCTGTGACCCCCTGATCCGAACACCAACGCACCACACGCCTCCCATTCCCCTTATTGTGGAATAAGGGGAATGCAGAGACAGGCTACAAGTGTCTTAGGTTCAAGTTAGACAACTAATGTCTGGGTTAGTGTTCATGACTTCATGTTTATGTCATCTTAATGGTTCATCTCAATGCACACACATTTTCCGTGCTTTCCAATAGTTTTATTCCACTGTTAATAACCTGTTCAATACAAACATGACACTTGTAAAAATTAAATAACATTTCTGTGAACTGATATTTGTTTAGTGAGCTTATTAACCCCCTGGTGGCCAGTACACACATTATGTGGCCCCCACCACCATCCAAGTTGCCCATCCCTGTACTAGTCTCAAACAGAAGCCATTCTTAATTGTTGTTGGGTTCATTTAGCACTCTATAATTATTTGTTACCACAAACGGTAACACTACTAGCTAATTCACACAATGCGCAATTGTCAAATGTCATGGCAGTAGAGAGAGAATCCAAATGAAGACACTGCCATTGCTTGTTTTGCAAGCGTCTTTTATTAATGCGTAAACAGTAGCAACAGCAGTCTCAACTGCAAATATCTACAAACCCCGGCCCATGGTTATCAGAAGCTGGCCTTAAAAACTCCCAATGTTCTAACTTACTTTGTACTCACAAGTTGTTAGTGTCTTGATGGTATCGCAGAGGGAACTTGAATCATGTACGGCTCTTTATTGACAGGTCTTGTAGCCTTTTTTAGAAAATTAAGTCCAACATAATTTTCCCTCCACTTGTGTCGATTCAGTTTCCCAGAAACTGGTGAGCAGTAAATCCACTGTGAAGCTTCAGAAATTCCCCAAAACTCTGCACGCACATCAAGGGGGGCTGACGCAAAACAACAGTCTGACTTCCTTAAACTGAGGATGATATTAAGACTGGAGAGTTTATTTATTTATCTAGTACATTTACAAATTGGACTATTTGTAATGGGACCAACAACCATGTCTGTTTTTTGTTGTACGTTAGGACTGATGTAGAATATTCGTTTTTATATGAAAGTTTGTTTTCTCAACCAACAGCCCAAAATATATTCCCTGTTTTCCCACAATGAATTGGCCAGATGTTTAATTACCACCTTTCTCACAGGTGAGGCTGTCAGTTTAGTTCCTTACTGTGGTAAATTATAATTTTTGTTATGCACTGCAAATCCTTATTTTCTTTCCAAATGAAGAGGGTACGTTGTGAGGAAGTGTACGCGGGCTGGCCCACTGCTGCTCTGCTCGCCGACAGCATTGTTTGCAGGCCGGCTGCTCAGTTGGCCTTGTTTCCTGTGTGAAAGCTCAGACAATGATTTCCTGCGACCAGGTGTTAGTCTTCTCTCTTTTCCTTTTGGTAGTATGCTCTTTACGTCCTCCTGAATGTACAAGTTAGAAGGTAGAAGTTAGAAAGCTCTGCCTTATCGCTATTCTTCTTCTGTGCTCTGACAGAACTCATCACAGAAAGTGATTTTGATGTCGGGCACATTTCTGGTGCCAGATAAGTAGGGATGTCCCGGTTCAATCTCAAACATCAGTATCGGGTCGATCAAGGCATTTTCTAACTGATTGGTATCTGCTTCATTCAGCTATCCAGCCTGATCCAATCCTTTGTTTTACGTCACACAGCTGTTTTCACTTTTGAAGCTTTAAACAAACAGCATACACCATAAAATCGTCTAAAAGCATAATGACTTTTACTGACCTCATCTACATGCACGCATTTATTTTCAACTCTGTGTAAAAATCTTTTGTTACTTTCTTGTTTGAAAGTTACATGAAGAAAGGCAAAGCCAATTAGAAGAATTAAATCGTTAATCTTCCCCAAAAGATTTACAGCCGATACAAATATACACTCAACATAACACAGTTCATTCAGGTTACTAAGGCAGAGGTTGCAACAAGAACAACGGACACTGTATGGCACTTTTTGGAGGGAGAGATTCCGGAAAGTTTAAGGAGAAGGTTTGCTATTCGGTTTTATACTTTATTTTGTAATAAATGAAGGAACACCTTGGATGCCGGATTTTCTTGGGGCAATATACAGCTATAAGTCAAGCGGGATGATTTGAATGAGTTAATGTACTAAAAGTGTGCCCTGTGCAGCAGTATTATAAACAAATAGAAGCATTGGATATGGACTTGAAATCAGTAGATACTATCAGTGGCTAAGAAACTTGATTTGCAAATCCCTGTAAATAACCGTTATAGTGCCTACTGTAATTATGTCAGCTGTGATAAAGTACTTTTTCGAAAAGGTGTCACTTTCTTGCAGGGTTTTAAACACATTTTTAGATACTCTCTGAAAGTGACGTGCAAAAGGAAGTCATTAGTCTCCTGAAAATGGCTAATGAATGATTACATTTTACCACTCAAAATATTACCTTTGATTTTTCCCCCCCCAACTTAAATCATGGATAGGATACTAAATACATTTGCACACATCTTGTGTCCATATCTTTCTGTTTTGGTGGTCATGCCACACCGTGCACGTGCATGCATGCGCGAGTCATGGTGAGATATCTGGATTGGTTGCTTTTTCTTTGCACAGCATGAAAGAAAGGCCAAATGAATGGGCTGTGATTTTAGTTTTTTTTAAGCAGAGGTTGAGTTCAATAATTTGTACGACCCTCGGAGGATGTTGCTGTAAATAATAATAAAAACCCTTGATTTATAACTTAACATCTCTGTCTCCTATTGATCTGAGTATATTATAAAGAATAGCAGTTAATTGAAGCATTATAGCACAGGCCTTTGTCAGATGGTATATTACGCTGTTTTTTTTCTGCTTCGAATAGTTCTCTCTTTTTTCACCATACCTGTGTTTGCATCACTGAGTAAATATAATGGCGTGTTAATGCTCTACTCTTATCACAAAGCTTTTTGGAGAGAAACCCGAGAGCAGTAAAGAAATGGGTTATCACTCTTTTTATTTCTGAAAATGGGCCAGTCAGTCATAAAGTTCAAGGCTGAATTTCTTTCCCAGCCCTCGGCACTCACGGACACACACGCAAGCAGACAAACTGCTCACAACCACTATACTTTTCCCCTAGAGTTGTACATATAAAGATGATATGTGAGATTGAGCATAATGTTCTCCAATTTCAGTCTACTTTTCTATTTGCCCCTCCACATCTCCTGATACACAGCACAGATGGGATAATCTCAACTGCGATATGAGCCTCTGGTGACAGAGGCTCTAAATAAGAATCACAGCTAACCCGGTTTCGCTCTCTCTCTCTCTGAACAGTTACTTTGAGAAGCAGAAAGCAGAGTGGCAGAAGGAGCCGCACGAGCCCGCCATCCCAGAATCCCTCGCCGCCGCTGCAGCAGCAGCACAGCAGCTTCAGGTCTCCAGGAAGCAAGATGCACGCCAGACGGCCACCTTCAGACAGCAACCCCCCCCCATGAAGGTAACACCCCTACTGAAAAACTAAAATGGCTGCAACTGTGAAAGAAGTCACTTTTTCAAGTTTGATATTGAAAAACACTATCAATGTTCTATATGTAACTGTTCTTAGTTGTACAATATATATATTAAGAAAATTACCATACTAAAATATGACCAATCAAGACGAATCACATGACTGTCCACAGGGTAGGTCTCAAGGCCACCAGTGGTTTCATGACATCTCTAAAAACACACTGCAAGACATTCAAACAGGCGTGGTTTTTGATAAATTGATCAAGCATTGTGTATTTTAATAGTTGCTTTCTCAAAATCTCACGACTGACAGCCGCTCTCCAGGCACACAGATGCAATGCATTGTGGGGCAGTAGAAATGGTGCAGTTAGCTAAGTAGAAGACATCATGGCATTTCTTGCATACAAAAAATCCACACACACTATTAAGTGTCAACCAACTAGATACATTATCCTTGTAAATTGTACGTTATTATGCAAAGTCATAGTTTACTATCTTAAATCGCTAATCAAGTTAGCTTTTTGACAATGAAAAGTGTCTGCACTATGCTCTGCACCTCGTAGTGAGTGAATCATACATTGTAATCACCTGAAGGCAGCTTTAGTCAGACGCCCAGAGCAACCACCTGACCAAGTGGTTTATCTCTTCAACACTGCAAGGACATAATAGGTCTTAATGTCTGTCCCCCCCCTCTCTCCAGGCTTGTTTGTCCTGCCACCAGCAGATTCATCGTAATGCCCCCATCTGTCCATTGTGCAAGGCCAAGAGCCGCTCCCGCAACCCAAAGAAGCCCAAGAGGAAGCCCGACGAGTAGATCCTACCCTACCTTCACCCTCAGTTTAACGGGATCTGGTCTGAAACACTGATCCAAGATCAGCCATGTACTTCACAATATATGACTGAAATAACAGATCTATGCTTCAGGGCAACTTCCACAAACAGTCCTCTCTTAAACAAGTCGTCTTAGTACCTTTTTCATAAACTGTCAACTGAGATTGATGGAGGATCTGGTGATGTCATTCTGTTTGTTTTAACTGTGCTTTGGATGTGTTTATATGTAATTGTATGACTTCTATAGTAGGTTTATTAACCCCTAACCATGTAGCTGCAATAATGCAAAAATGAAACTTGATAAAATGCAGACCTTTTTTCCCCATGTTGCCATTGTTCTTTGCCTTAGATATTGTACTGTATTTTCAAATTAGTTTTTGAATGCATGTGTGCTTCCATGGCTGTCTGTCTTGTATTTGTTTGTGCCGATGAAAATATTGAGTAGGCTTAATTAAAGTTAGATAAAACACAATGTTGTTTTAATGTTTACAGTGTTCAAGTGACAACCGGTGGGATAAGAAAAGAAAAAAACCCAGACTTATCCGCTCTGAAAAGTGTTGTGTGTTTAACTTTAATACAGTGATAAGAAAATAAATTGCTGTTTTGTATTAACCTTGTTACGATGTCCTCTTTTTTACACTCAAAACAAAGGCTAGACATTTGTTTCTGGTAGCGGTGTGAACGTAAACACAGCTGTAGCTGAGCAGTGAAGCCAAGGATCAGCATATGCATTAATGTTTTTCAGGAAAATGGGCGTGTTTATCCATCGTGTCAAATAAAGAGATAGGAATATGTTTTACTCCACTACAACATTGTCCCATCCATTGTATTAACACGGCGCCCATCATACTGCAGCTATCTGTCTGAAAAAGGACAGCGAGGTCTTGCTAAATGAGTTCCTGTAGCGTTTTTGTCAGGGTAACTCCTCACTTCATCTGTTGCCAGGGCAACTCCACGGTCCTTAGCCGTTGCTACGGCAACCACAGGTTGCTGTGACCCGCACATCACCACTTTAGTAGTTCCTTCCCAAATCCAGTGAGGGGCATTGAAGGGCTTTGGGAGACATTGCACACTCCTGTAACCTAAATAATTGTTTCAGTTTTGTGAATAATTCATATAGTCTGTCAAAGTGAAAAAGATATAAGTTGGCAGTTTTTGTTTCTAAGAGTTTGAGCAACACTTACTCCATAGCTCAAGTGTGTGTTTAGTCTGCCCGTCAGTGTTTGGAGCTTTAGTTGTGTCTTCTTCCTCCCGATAAAACTTCTCAAGGCCAGAGAAGCCCGTTCCTGCTCACACACTCTGCAGGCAGCCGGATCATGGAGCTCCACCTCTGCAGCCTGAAACACAAGATAAACATTCAAGAGGACAAAACTGAGCATTTTCCTATCGCGATAACACACCCCCAAGGCAAAAGTTAGTCATAGAGAGGGGAGTCACCTGACCCGTCTCATGTCTTCCTTGACAGTTTTGAGCCTTAACATTGAGAGTAGTTGAGGGGGGACGGTGTGGACTTCGGGACCTTGACTTTTGAGATATTTGGGGGAGGTTCGGTCTCTCCCTCGACACTCTGGGAGAGGGAGGTTACATTCCCCATCATCTCTAAACTGGTCCGCGGATACTTGTCTCCCACAGGCGGTCATCTCCCTTCCCCTGGCTCTTTTGTGTCTCCCCCTCTCCTCCGCAGAGAGCCAGGGGTGCTGCTGCTGGTTTCGGACACGAGCAGTCATTCTTCTGCACAGCGCTTCCCACTGCTCCTCCATTTTGAGAAAAATACAGAGCGCGGGAGTCACACCGTGACTTACGCTAACGTTATTATAGTGACGTAACTTTAGCGTGTTTGTGTAAACTACATTAAGCGTGTTTGTGTGGGGGGAGATAAACCCTATTACAAAATCGATAGCTTACCAATACCAGACATTTTGGTAAAATATTAACCCACTTGAACCAAAGGTCACTGCTCTCCCCTTTCACCAAGCGCCCTCTTCTTTTGCTGTTAGTTACAGCTGCACTTCCTGCCAACAGTGAACTACTAGCGCCACCTGCTGGCTAACGGAGGCATGTTTAAATCCATTAAATCCAATGCCTTTCATTTATTTGAAAATTATATTTATTGAGTGAAACCAGAGGATTTACCGGGAAAAATAAAGTGACAAGAATCACATTACAAGTACAAAATAATGTCTGATATAAAATAGGAATATGAGGAATATGAGGAAAATCCTTAGACTGTCATTTTTATATACATATTTATTGTTGTGCTATTATTTAAACCTCTTAATGTGTGTATATATTTGTACATATCTGTATGAGTATGTATTTATTTATATATATAAGTGGGTGTTCAGATGTATGTAGCCTACAGCATATATGGGCCATTCTACCGAATTGGACCAAAGTCAGGTTGGAAATGTTTTTACATTTTGTATGTTTTTTTCCCAAAACTGTGTCCATATATATTTTGTACCATATCTAAATTACACATATCTAGTCAAATAACCGTACATTTTTATATCATATTTTCAGACTGTATTGGAATGTTCTTCCTCTACCATAAATGGTCACTACCAAAACATAGTAAATACACTGTAAAAAAAAGTATTATATTAACCTGTTAAGATTGTTTTCCCTTCCCTTCTCTAAATAGTATTTTAACAAATATTTCTTGAGGGTTTTCACAATTAAATTAATAAAAGTGAATTTCTAATCAAATTTCAAAATTCATAAAAATCATAATGCAAACTTTCTTTGTAAAATGCATAATACTGATCATATTGATTCCAGAGTTGATGATTGTTGAAATTGAACATACATTAAACCAATCAGTATCATATCATTTTATTTGATAACTCAATATACTTTATTAACACATCCAGTGTTTCGGTAGTGACCACAGTATTTTGTTCTCAAGGTTGTATCATATTCCCTCAACCTTATTGCTTAATTTTAACTCATAACATGCCTTATGTTGAAGTGTGAATGTTTGAAGCTACTGACCCAGAATCAGCACCTTAGTAACAGGCTGAAATAGAGGGGAATGAGGCTAGAATGCATGATCTGTTTGGTATATTGAGCAAAACACTTCATAGACATGTTTTTTTATATATATCTGAGACCTATAATATATGCCTAACAATAGTATAATAAGAGACCTTCAAAGTAACACACTGATTTTCAGACTTTACAAAACATTTATTTCAAAATGGTGGGATTTACCTGCTTACCATTCCATTTAGTCAATTACCGAAATTTAACGAGGGGTTACGTATGTAACCCTTGTTATATAAGCACAGGCGGAGCCCTCTATACTGGACTCTATGGGTACTACCCTTTGATCATATCATGCAAGCATTCATCCACTGAGACTTCTATAACCGTAGCCGGCCCCGGGGCGGGCCTACCTGAATGCGTGCACAAGCCCACCATAACCATAAGGCGGGCACACCTCCCGTTCCCGTCATCCTACACTTCTCTTCAGCGAGTAGCATAGGACAGACAGAGCCCGAGTAGAGGGCTCCGCCTGTGCTTATATAACAAGGGTTACAATACATAACCCATCGTTATATTTCTCACGCGCTGTCGTCCAACAACACCGTTCAATCTCACTGTCCCTGACCGACTTTCTGGTTAGCAGCCGCTGCGCCTCACTCACCTCTCCCTCGGTCGTAACCGTGGAGAAGTCGGGGCTGCGGCTGACAGAGCACACTCTGAAGCGCTTACCTCGCGAAAAGTGTGCTCAGAAAACAGTGCTGAGGGCTCTCCCCCTCAGCAGTAGTAGCTGTATCGAAATTTCCAGGAGGGGCTGAAACTGCACTCATTTTCTGAGTCAGGAGCATTGAGGGGGTTAGAACTGCAGGCATTTCTGGGTCAGTAGACACAGACACAAGGCGTCTTGTGTTGATGATCGCCATCACCTCTGCCATGAAAGTGCTCAGAACCTCATGTGTAAGAAGTACTGGTCCTGTCTGAAGCAACATTGCATCCAGAATGCACCTGGCTACTCCGATGAGCCGCTCCCAGGAACCACGCATGTGGGAGGCATGAGGGGGGTTGAAAACCCAGAGCATCCTTTCTCCTGGAGGTACTTCCTGATTAATGTGTCGTCTGTGTTAATCCTTAACTCTTTTGAAGCCCCGACGAAGTTAGTCCCTCTGTCAGAGCGCAGGAGCTTTGCTGGACCACGAACAAAGAAACATCTTCTTAAGGCATTGATAAAACTGTCTGTTGACATGGATTCAATCAGTTCAATATGCACCACCCAGGTACATGCATGTGAAGAGCGAAGCCCAGCGGCTGACAGAGCACACTCTGAAGCGCTTACCTCGCGAAAAGTGTGCTCGGAAAACAGTGCAGAGGGCTCTCCCCCTCCGCCCATAGGCGGACGGAGAGAGTCCTCAGTCTGTATGGGCTCACTATGCATCACCTCTCCCGGGTCCCTAAGGAGCATGGGGAGAGCGCAATGCCCCATGTTTTTTATTTTTTATTTTATTTTATTATATGTACTTGTTTGTCTACCCTCCCTCATACTGTAAAGCGTCTTTGAGTTGTGATAAGCGCTATATAAATAAAATGTATTATTATTATTATGTCCCACACTCAGACACGCTTACCCCGTGAAGAGTGTGTGTATGGACTATAATGTGGAGGGCTCTCCTCTCCTGCCCTAAAGCAGGGGGAAAGAGTCCTCCAGCCCTGTAGCCACCGGGGCCCGGAAAAAACGTAACCGCATTACGCCCGGGGAAGGGGTCAGATGCCCACTGACCCACAGCCCCCCTCCCTCCTCACCAGTCCTGTGTTGCCCCAGCAAGCACAGACGATGAAAAGGAGCCAGACATGTCCAAGAGATACAACTTTATGAAGGGGCATGGCGTTGACCAAGACACCACCGTGCATATGTCCTCCACACTCACGCCGTTAAATATGGCTGTTGACACAGCCACAGCCCGTGTAGCGTGTGCACGGACCCCCGTGGGGAAGGCTCTCCCCGCCTGTCCGTGGCATGTGCAATGCACTCCCAGAGCCAGCCTGCCAGGCGTTTCTTGGACAGGGCTTTCCCGGTCACCCCGCCCCCGAAGCACACAAACAGCTTTTCAGTGCGTCTAAGGGCAGCCGTGCGCTCCTCATAACACGCTAGCGCACGCACCGGGCAGAGGATAGACCCTCCAGAAAAACGCGGGCAAAAATCCTTGATTATGCGGGCTAAAATCCTTGATTATGCGGGCTAAAATCCTTGATTATGCGATCAAACATGCAGGGTTTTATGTGATTTTATGCGGTGAAATTGCGGGAAGTTATGAAATATGCGGAAAGTTGCGAAATATGCTAAATATGCGGAAAAAATAAATATTGGAATGTCTTATTTATTTATTCTCTCTCACACACAACCTGCCGCTAACGTTAAACCCCTTTACTATACAATTAAACACATTCAATGTTTATTTATTGTAAAAGCAATTGGGCTATTTTAATCACACTCTCTCTCTCACGCAGACACACACACTTCTCCGCCTCATTCTGTTTTCATTTCATTTCATGTTCGTTATCTGACCAGCTTCAATCTTGTAGGCTTCTCACCTCGTTTCTTGTAGCCCTCGAAAGGGTTTTGGAGGTTGATGCCTCTGTGAACGTGAGTTGTTTGGCTTTCTTGTCCGCAGCAGCAGAAAGCATTTTCGAATGTTTGAATGAATCAAAGTGGGTCGTCACCGTCGATGTTCTCTTAATAAAATTGTTATCCAACTGTGTGTTGGAGCATAAGACTTATGCTCCATGAGACTTATGCTCCAACACACAGTTGCACGGGGTGCAGAATAGTTTCCCCCAGTGGCGGTTCTAGAACATTTTACATGTGGGGGCAAAGGGGAGGCAAGAGGTCATGCCAGGGTGGCATAGGAGGGCGGACAGTACGTGGTATTTTACACTGTATATAACCTATTTATTGTTAATTCATGCCCTAACACAAGTGTTCTTAATGCACAAGAGAAACAAGGTGTTCAGACAAATAATCGGGTGCCCTTTGAGTCCCCCAAGCTTACCTCAACCATTTTAAATGAAAGGAAACTACAAAATGTATTTTAAAGCAATGAATTAATCGAACAGGTTGTTTTGCATTACAATGTAAAATTAAATATATATTTTGTTTTAGACAGACACAAAAATTGGTTGTCTTAGACAGACATATTTGCATGTCCTCACTAAGCATTATTACATATTAATTTAATATTAAACAAATCAAAATGGCCAATTATCCAAAAATGTTGCTGCTAATATAATCATATGCTTGTCAACTTTAACTGATCAAAAATCAATTCTGAAAAAATACTTGAATTATCTATGAAATTGCAATATTGTCCCTCAGTTTGTTTCAACCCCGTCACGCCATACCATTTACCCTCCTATTAAAATAATGGATCAGTCCATGTGTGATCTGCATGGAGGGAATTACATCACAAAAGTGTCAGTTTCTTCTCTTACCTATATTTCAGTTTTTGTATTTTCAGATTAAGATTGACAAGCTCAACATTTAAACTCTGTTATATGAATTAATAATAGTAAATAATTGTTTATTACAAAAATAAACAATAGTTTTGCAAAATATTACAATGTTGTAATGTCCTTGACTTCCATGTGGTGCCATATCTTAGCTAAACAAGGTCTCATGCCTACTTTTTGTCAAAAACTTCAACCCTGTTACATTTTTTCAAGGAAATTCCTAGTAATTATTTATATTTTGTGCCTGAGGTGGGAACATGTAAGTAGTCCACTACCAGATGTTATGACCAAACATTTTGGTTTCATTTTTCAAAGATATAAAGACCCAAAAGGCACCTGATTCAGAGAATACTCAGAATTCTGCAAACTGTAAGTACTTAATTATAATTAAGTACACAAATGACATCACCCATCTCTTCAGAGAGGGTGACCAGCAACACATTTCAATCAATATTTGTCAATACTAACAGCTGCTAGATTGTGCTGCTGTAATGGAATATG